CATTAAAGCTTCTGGCATTCATTCATTTCCTGAAGGCATGGAAGGCAAAGAACTGACCAGGAACCTACTACAGTGATTTTTTTATTATTTTTTTTTGGGGGGGGGAGAGGATGAGGTAGGGGACAAGGGGCAGTGTGGTGTGACTTACAGTCACAGGTGGATAGTGGTTGTGATCCTGCTCGTTGGTCCTGCCTTACATGCTAGTCATACACAGTGTGTTATCTCAAGAATCTGGTACTTCCAAAGAGGAACTAGAATAGAACAAGTTTCCTCACACTCTGGCTGGCGCTTTGTCACGAGCTTTATGCGCACACAGTCCTTTTGTTGCCTGTCAGAAATCTGCATATTTTTGTGGGTTTTGAGAAACCACTGATCCTATTTCATCCTACTAGAATTTGAAAATTATATAGTACAGAACCCAGCAGGATTTACTTGCACAGCATGTGCTTTACAAGGTTATTGTGTTACAGGTTTCAATTTTACTTTTACACGAGTGACTGATAACTAGCTTTCATGTCGCATTCCAGTTGCTTTTATTGATTGCGTTTTCATAACCAAAGAATTAAAATATTTCATTATTCCCCAGCAACTTGTAAAGCTGTAATTTAAGACTACTATCAATAGTGAAAAATCATACCCCGGTGACAGTTTCCCTATAGTCCCAATTTACCAAACGGTATAAACCACAGTTAACTCATAAAAGAGTAAATTTGGAGTGACAAATCCTCTGAACATGACTTAAGACTTGTTGCTTCTATTTCTGCTGAGGATGAGAAGCTCCAAGTATTTTGGCAGTCATTTAAAACAGACTAAACTCCCTCTTGATCTCCTACCTGTGTGTTTCTGTAGACTTCAATCATTCTGATTTATTCTTGTGCAAGATCAGATTCAGCATTGACTTAGGGTAAATGACTGCCAAAACGCTCGCTGATAAGTTAAAATAATGAGAGGCTGCCTGCGGCCCATAGCCAGCACCGCTCCAGAGATGTCTCCTTTCTGTTACGTTACGCTTTTTGTAATACTTGGTTCATTGTTTTGCTGACTAGTTGGAGAGCCTTCAGCCACAGCATTTGTATAGTGTGGGATTTTTTTTTAGAAGGCCGGAGATTAGGCTAACGGGCAGGTGCTTAACTTGGGAAAAATATTTCTGCCTTAAGAGTCTAATGCTGTGTATTATGGCACTAAAACTGTTCTTGGGATGGGGGTAAAATGTGAACTTACCAGGCTCTAAGTTACAATTAATACATTTTTTTCATTCAAAGTTAGCTTAAAATTGTCTTCTGATTTCTCTTCTTTTGTGTTGAAGGTCTTAATACTTCTAAGTGACGGCACCACGATGTGCCTGTGCTTCCCTCGGGTGTTACGAGAGGGCATTGCTTTTGCAAATGTTTGAACCCACGGTGGCAGTTCCCATCGAGAGGCTGTTCTTTTGGCATGGTTGATGGTCCTACAGCTTTCTCAGTCTTCTCCTCAGTCCGGTTTCTCTCGTGTATTATCTCATTTTTGTCTTGTCTCTTCCGGCATTCTTTCATCCAAGTTGAAATCCAGTGAGAAAGGTGCTGCTCCCTCCCCATGCTTACTGCTCCACGTCCCTTACACCTACGCTTATGGGAATTTGCTCTGGGGGAAGGGGCGGGGGTGAGGCGGGTGTGTTGTGTCCCTGCGCGACTTAAAATCACAAGGAAAGTGTTGCATGGGTTCAGTTACACGCTGCACATGTTACATGTCGACTGTTTGGGGGGTGGGGGGGGCCTATAATTTGCCTATTCCTCTACTGAGTGGGAGGAGGAAGGGGAGAAAGGAAGACTGACTGGTTTTATTTGGGTATCTTCAATTTGTTTGCTGATACCGTGCTTCTCATTTGTAAACTCTTAACGCTCCTTCCCCTAGTGCAGCCTGTTCTTTTTCTGCCCTGTTACTGCATTGTAACTTTAACAGCGTACAGTGGTGATTTATTTTAATATGGTACTGAAATCTCCATTTGTAAATAATCTGGGCTGCTGCTGTGTAAGTAGCTGATGAAATGTCTTTACTGGGTCTGCTGCGTATGAAAGAAACCACAACATTAGGCAATAAAAACTACTAACAGAATGTTACAAAACCAAGACCATGACAAAAAAGCAGCATGTTGTGGATCTATCATTTTTATTCTTGGGACAGATTTTATTATTTTTGGAACTATTACAAGACCTATGTTAAATATTGTGGATGATAAGAGGAAACAGACTCTTGGCAAACATGGAAAACCAATTACAGCGTATTACCCTATTCCCCTTCCAATAAAGGAGGGGCTAAACCAAAAGTTTATTCTTCACTTAGCAGCTGGAGAGAACCAAAAAAAAAGTGCTCCAGCGTTAGGGTTGGCTCGAGGAGGGAGGCTGTTAGTGTAGCAGGCTCACTGCAGGCAATCGGAGCTGGGCAAAGCAGAACCAGCACGCTCCCGGGCAGTTCTTTATCCCAGTCTAAAGAAGCACACTTGTCTTGGGAGCTCTGATTAAGGAAATCACCATTTATACTGTCAGATGGGCTGCTCACTTCAAAAAAAAAAATTAAAAAGTTTTGGTTTTGGTTGCAACTTTCAATGCTGCGAACCTCCCCTATCATAGCGGTGAGTATTTCTGAAGATTTGTGTCGAGAAATCAGCTGGAGCATGTTCCTGGCGCTCAGGTTTAACTGCTGTGTGACGTACGGGTGAAATAAGGTGCAGTGGAAATCCACTCGGCGGTTTATTCAGAGGCCAGCCCACGACAGCGTATGTGCATCCACGTGAGCTCCCGTCCCAAATTACAGCTCTTGTAGAACTGTCCGCAACAGAGAGAATGTAAATGAGCCGGTGCGTCAGCACGCGCTGCTCTGTGCTTTCCCTCCGAGAGGTGTTTTCCCTATAATTTTTAAAATTCATAAATAGAAGCTTTTATATTGGGCACAATCTTGATGACTGGTGAGAGAGCAGATTTGGTGTAAAGTGTAGCATGATCTAATTAGCCTTTCCTAAGTGAAGCTCAATACCACGTATCAAATTAAGTGGAAAGTGATTATTTACTTTTCCTAGGCTTGGACACATGATACGGGAAGAAAAATAAATCTTCAAGTGAGAGGATGGTTCAGAAGAGACCAACACATCTGTAACAAGGGTTAATTTGGGGCTAATGCTGTCCCAGTTGACGTAGTTATGAAAACAATGCATTTTCAGATCATGACTTGGGAGAATATTTTTAGATGCAGGAAATGGTTGAAATACTGTGACTTACAGGACAGTGAAGTGCCAAGGCTCCTCAGAAGGACAAAACGTGTAGAGTTGCTCACCACTTCCCAATACCATAGTGCAGGGAGAGACTTCAGGGCCTGGCAGGTGTTACCCAGCAGCTGAGCACTGCCTCCTGTGTCTCAGAAGTGCTGCTGCTGCTGCTGCTGAATCACAGAATCATCATGGTTGGAAAAGACCAAGATCATCTGGTCCAACCATCCCCCTACCACCAATGTCACCCACCAAACCATGTCCCCAAGCACCACATTCAGCCTCTCCTTCAACACCCCCAGGGATGGTGATGCCACCACCTCCCTGGGCAACCCTTTCCAATGCCTGACTGCTCTTTCTGAGAAGAAATGTCTCCTCATTTCCAACCTGAAAGCAAAGCACCAGGCTGACTGTGGCGATGCAACTCTGGCATGGACACACAGGTGTGAGCTGTGCACAGGTGACAACATCGAGACCAGAGGGGGGGCAGCCCCCAGGATATGAAGGTGGGTAAGTACGGCTTAAGGAGAAGAGATGGGAGCAGAAGTGGTGGCAGAGGACTTGGGGCAAGTTAACCTGTAAAGAGGCTGGGATTGTTGTGGAAAAGCACAGCACAGCTTTGTCTTGAACGTGTCTGGAAGCAGAAGCATTTTTCCCTGGCTTTTCTATTGGTTTTGTAAGGATGGGCTGACCTGACTTGGCGGTTAGGCTCATGTCAAAAGTGCTTGAAAGTGAATACTGGCACAAAAAAAAATAAAAAATAAAAAATAAAAAATAAAAAATCCAGGTTTCTGATGTCCTTGAGAGCCAAGCAAGACAAACAATGACTTAAAAAACAGCTGGCCCAAAAATTTTGTGCAGTTTCTCCTTGTCTCACGTTGCTCACTCTCACGAGGAAAATGTGCCTGCACAGAAATTGAAATGCTTCTGGTGTCTCCCGTGGCATCGCTATGAAGCAGAAATTATGTTTGTGAAGTAACTTCAGAGGAAATGGCACCCACACCTATGAACAAAATCTCGTGTGGACAGCCATGTCACGATATGGCCTGCAGAACTGGCCACCGTGCATCGTAAAACACTTCGGGATTTTCGCTGAGATCCTACTTGGGACTGATGGGATTTTCTTTCCAGTTAGCAAAGCTCCACGTGTTGTTTCTTGTGAGTTTCGTCACATCTTTGGTACCGCACTTTTCTTCTTGTTACTTCTCCCACCCTGTCCTTTCCCTGCTTTTTGTGGGTGGGTGCCTAGGGGGGGTGATCCAAGAAAAGGAGCTTCCAGTTCAATATACTTCGGGCAGACCTTTAATAGCTATCACTGGACGAACAAAAAAACAAACAAGCAGAAAAGTTTATTTGGTTTGCTTTGTGGACAGGACCTCGTTTTTCTGCCCTTGGCGAAGAGGCGGGATGACTCTTGGGGAGGGAGGGCAGGGGGGCGGCACATGTCACCGGCCTGCACGGAGGCCACTCTCCTCGGGGCGAGGTGTCAATGTGTGTGTGTGGTATAAAAGGGGGGTTAGTAATCTAAAAAGGGAGAAAAATGGAAAAAAAGGGGGAAAAAAGGGGGAAAAAAAAGGAGGGGGGGGGGAGCCCCCTGCCCGCTCCGTCCCCGTGAGGTGTCGGCGCTCCCCATTGGCCGCCGGCCGCTGTCAATCATCGCGGGGTAAAACCCGCCCTCGGGGTGACGTCACGAGCGGAGTGGCCGTTGGGGGGGGGGAGGGGCGGTGCTTGCCCGGGGCGGGGGGAGGGGGCGGGCAAGGTTTTGGGGTGAAAAGGGGCCAAAATGGTGGGGTGGGGGGAGAGGAGCCGAGGGGGGAGCCACGCCGTGCCCCTGGGCCCGGCCCAGCCCGGCTCGGCGCTGCCGTCGCCATGGCAACGGGGGGAGGGCGCAGGTAGCCCGGGGCAGCCGCCGCGATGGGGGGGGGGGGTCCCTGAGGCAGCCCTCCTGACAGGGCTCCCGCCGGCACCACCAGCAAGTCAGCTGCTTGGGGTGTTTCGGGCATCTCCCATAGCCGTAATTTGCTTTTCGGACAGGTACCGCGCACTGACAGGCACGGCTGGTGGCAGGTAACCCGGCTGGAAGAAGGGTGAAGCCGCTTCAGCCACGCAGACGCATGCCTCTTCGCTGTTTTGACCTCCCCTGGCTCATGTGGACATAAATAAGTGGAGAAATGCATGAAATGCCCACTTCTAGGTACGCACCAATAGTACGTACACGTCAAAAAAAAAACTATTTAATAGCAGGACAAGCAGCAGCATCTGAAAAGCACATAAGCTTAATTGATTCCAGGCGCAGCCAGCCTGGATTTTGTTTCCTCTTATTCCAACTTTCTGACCTTGTAAAAATTATCTTGATTGTGTTACGCTAAAACAAGGCCATGATCTTGCAAAAACTACCACGCGTGTTGCTGCTGAGCGGCGTTGGGTAAAGCGCGGTGGATGGGACAAATGTTGACAGCGTCAGGCCCCGAGTCCGTCTGTTTGCTCACCTTTGCTTACATCTAATCACGGTGAAGCAATAGTCTGACTTCTGCTCAAAGCTGGATCTGGGTTTTTGGTTTTAAAGAGGCAAAAAATGTGCAGCAAAACTTGATGATCTAAGGTGAAGGATAGGTTTAATGTTCTTGCAGTCGTTTAAGCTACTGGAATTCTTTGACATTTAGACTTGGAGATATAAAAAGGATTTAAAAAAATACTTATTGCCTATCGTTTTTCCAGAACTTTTTCTTTTTTCCTTGTGTAGTTGAGATCTATGTTTTTCAAAAGATTATTTCTAGGCATTGGTATGAAAGTTTAAGGACTCGCTGGCTTTGATGATAACTCTTACGATGACATTGTGCCTTTGTATAAATACATACATTAAAAAAAAAAAAAAAAAAAGCCCAGGACAGTATAAAGTGTTTGATGTGCTGCTGTCTTTGGCACTGGAGAACTTCTGAGTATAATTGTATTTTCTGCCTGACAAAAATCCGAGGCCCACCTACACTGATCCTTTTATTGCAATACCTGCTGCTGCTCCCGGTATTAGGGAATCTGCAGCTTGCTAGCCTTAAATCTCTGTGAAGACTTGCAACAAAACAAACAGAAAACAAAACAAAAGATTAACTACTAAATAAATAAATAAATAAATCCAGTATTTGGACCAAGCATGTGATTCCTGTCTTTATTTCTCTGAAGGTTCTCCTCTTATTCTTTTTCAGGATCAAGAATAAACTGTGTATTTTTGTCTTTGTCGGAAAGGCTCCCATGGGGCAATCTTCCTAAGCACTGGGATTGCCTGTTTGGCAGCAAGGAGGCTTATAAAAAGCAACTCCAGGTGGAAGTGGGCCTTTTCCTGCTCCTCCCTCCACACTGTTGCAATTCCCTGTCGTCGAGGCCCTGAGAACAGCCTGCCTTTGAGACTGAGCTGCAAGTGTAAGGAAGTGGTGGCTGCTGGATCCACATGCAATACCTACTTTATTTACATTGAATCAGGGACATTTAAATGTTGTGGGGAAGTTTCTTGTACACAATGTAGCACATCTACTGATGGTGACCATTCAGCAACAAATGTAACTTTATGAATTAAGCCTATCTCTAAAGAAAACAAGTAGCTTTTATGCATCCTTATACTTGGTTTCTAGGAAGTCGGCATGAGTAAGGATGCCATCGTGTTTGAGCTTTTTAGCTCCCTTATAAACGTTTCTTACTGTCTTACAGACTGAAGGATGGAAGTGGTAGATCATTTATTAAATAGAAAAAGACCTGACAGCACGTGCAGCCTTCTGAGTGAAAAGTCACGTGGGCAACCTACTACACCAAAGATTAAACAGTGAACATTAGTGTTAATGCTGTATATTAGTGCTATTGCTGTACCTCTTGCCTTCCAGTCACTGCTTTACATTTTTTTTTTCTGTTAAGTTGTAGAAGAGCAAGTGAAATCCTGCCTTCTGAGAAGCGGTGGAATAATCTGTGTGCTCAGTGCTAAAAATACGGCGTGTTCTGGCTTGCATTTTTTCAGAGAGAAAACAATTGGTCCATTGCTTAAAAGTTGTGCCACTCGGCGCGGCGATGCTTACTGTGCGGCCTACTAAGTGTGACCTGTGGCATTACGGATGCAACGCACATCTCCTCCCTCTTCTGCAACCACAGGATGAAGACACGAGGGCTTATTGCCTTAACTGAAATAAGCAATTTCTGTTCATCTGCTGAGAATGTACGAGTAATATAATGATTGTGCAAGGTGCCGGCAATACACAAAGTATAAACAAACTTATGCATAGAGCAGATGAATTTCTGGCGGGTTTCCAGGGGAGTTCTCTCAGCGCTGCAGAGCTGAGGTATTTCTCTCTAAGCGTAGGACAAATTTTAGATGCAAGACAGCAACATTAAAGACGCAGGGTGGAGGGATACAAAATGAGGCATTAGATGGTGGTGGTGCTTTTAACAGCGACCTGTGACTCTGGATTTATCTCTCCGTGATTGGCACTTACCGCTGTTGAACACCTCTACTTTCAAATAATGTCAGCAAGAATGACAAGTGCACAGCATCTCGTGGCATCAGATACAACATTTCTCCTATGAAATGTGCAGCTGGAGTGAGGCGTTCCTTTATCTGTGAGCCGGTATCATCAGAGTATACTTTATTAAATTAAATTTTAAATGTAATGTTTGTAAAATGCAAGTTAACAGCGTATTGTTTTAAGCACCTTGATGATCAAACTCTACTTAGCCAGGTGGTTGTTTCTTTACTTCCAATGAAGTGCCGAGCAAGGAATATGCATTTGGCTGGATTGAAAGAAACTATGAAGATTGTACAAGTAAATTAAAGTCCTTATATGTTGCTGAATGTATCTCACACTCTGACCATCCCAGTACCCACCGTACCCGATGCGGGCTGCAGTGTGTGCATGTTATCCTTGTCCTCCCCGTGATGCTGTTTCCATACAGTACTGATTCGTACTCGGAGCTTGTGCCCTTCCCTTCAAGCACTCTTTGTCCATGAAATGAAGATCACAGCTGACAACATTGCTACTCTGTTGCCGCAGAAGTCTATGATAAACATTAAATGTAACTGTATATGAAACAGTTTTCTCAGGAATGGGTCCGAAGTGGAAGGAACAATGTCTTTTGTCTCCTCTACACAAGTGTATGGTGGTTTTATGTATGTCCCGATATCCTGAAGCAAAACTCTCCATGCACACCCTTCTTGCGAGGGAGAGAGACAGAAGAGATGTCACCGATTGCTCTGCGGTAACGCACTGAGATACTACTGTGATAAAAGCAGTGTAAGAAAACACAAAGGATGGTATGGATTGCTGTAATGCAGAGCATGTTTATGAAATGTATAAATTACACCAAACCCGGGCGGACGGTGACTGCTGCAGATGATCAGTTCAGAAATCGAAATGAACTTAACAAACGGAAAAGTGAAATTCAATTAAAACAATCACCAGTTTCTTGGAGAAAACAAGTTAGAGGGTTGTACAGGGTGCGTAGGGAATTGCTAGCAAAATAGCAAGAGGCAACGCAACGCTTTTGCAAAATACAATGCTCTCTTAGGATTTATCAATAGGTGGCATATGTAAGTCATAGAGTAAGAGGTAAAGATGACTCCACTAAGTGCTGGTGAGGCCTCAGCTGTCCTATTGCATTCTGTTTCATGCTCTCTGCTGAGAAATGAAGTTCAGAATAGGGCAAGAAAAAAAAAAAGAGATGTAGAATATAAAAGGATGTGTTGAAAGAACTAAGTATACTGAGTCTGAAAAAGAGGTTTGAGAGGGGTTTGGATAAGTTTCCACTATGTGCAAAAGGCAAGAAGAGGTTTTTGAGTGCTGAGGGAGAGGTGGGTAAGAGGGAGATGTTTCAGACTGGCTGTGAGGAGGGTGGAAGATGCTTTAGGTTGGCAAGAATCACTTGTAGATTGTGGTAGTGAGTGAAACACCAGAACAAGCCCCTCAGAAAGTTAGGGGATCTGCTTCCTCGAGGGTGTCTAAGAACAGGTTGGACAAACATCGGATGGGGGTTGCCCAGGACTCCTTCACCCCGTCTCTCTGCGGCCAGGAGGCATCAAATGCTCTCTGCAGAGCCCTCTCAGTCCTCCCGCCAGAGGTTTACCAAGCAGCAAGGGGACTGGACCTGAGTTTAACCAGAAAGCAGTATCATCATATTAGGGAATCCTCTTTTGGGGTAGAAAAAGGATAAGAGAAAAACACGTCTAGCTGACCTGGATAAGCAAATGAATTTTTTTTTTTCATTGTTTCCAAAAAACAGATGGGAAAGTTATGAAACGTAACACATTCCTCTCTGCGTTTTTAGTGTAATAATTTCAAGAAGCTATTTAAAACACACCTTTTTTGGGTGAACCTCAGTAGCAAAAATAACCAGTTTATTTTTCAAGGATACGGTAAATGCCTGTTTGGCTATGTTTTTCAGATTGCTTTCCATTTAAAATAAGTGACCACTGCTCGTGTAGGTATTTCTGACCGTGCCCTAGAATTTGGCACCTGGGTGCTTCTTGAATGTTTAAAGACGGGAAAATAATAGTGACAAATTGCTCCTGCTCTCCAACCCGTAGAAAGCACGAGTCATTCAGTACCTTGTCTGAAAAAAAATCGTTCTGGAAGGAAAGCTGACGGGAAACGTGAAAGTCAACCTCTCACTTCCTTGGCAGGTGAACTCTGCGACTGCCGCGGCGTTTCCCACACTCACCAGCTCCCTCCCTCCCCCGGGCTGGGCGTGAGGAAGTTCCAACGAAACGTAGCTGCGGCGGAAAGTCCTGCTCACAGAGAGGAGACGTGATCTCTCGGCTCGTCAGATCCAATTTTACAGGCGGCTCTGAGTCAGGGTGGAGCCCTCGAGCTGAACTTTGCGTCGGAGAAGGAAGTGATGTTGGTGGCAGCTTGTGTGGCTCAGCAGAGGAGTTGCCGTATTTTTATGTCAGCTGATGCTTGCGCCGGGGTGTGTGTGACTTCATTCGGAGATATGATGTGTCCCGTTTATTAAGGACAAAGGTCAGAAGCCGGCGGCACCGTGACAGCCTTCATATATGATGAGGGATGGGGACGGGAGCCCTCAGCGCTGCTTCTGCGCGCTGCAAGCGGGGCTGGCGGCGAAACTGCCAGCTCACGTCACGGCCTGAGAGCACATGTCCTCGCAGGTGTTGTGGGGCAGGTCAGCTCCCCACAGTTGTTCCTGTAAGAACTCTCTGTCCTTGCCCCTCTAACTGAGCATCTCCTCTCCAGGGGTGCTCGGAACTGGAGGGCTGCGGTGGGCGGTGGGGCACCGACTCACTGAACCTCAGAATTCAGAGGAAAAGGTGAGAAATCTCGCTTCTTACCGAGCCAAGCGGGGAGCCTATTTGAGGAGGAGAGCGAGGTTTTTATTGCCCTTGCGGCCCAGCCCTTGTGTCCTCTTGCTGTCCTCAGCAAGTGGCAGTGCTCGGGAGGCTCGCAGAGACACGCGGGCTCAGGGCATGTCCGCGACTCCTCCTTCACGGCCCTGAGTTGCCTGCTTCAGCCAGCCACAAGAAAGCCACCTCTTGTCCCTGTTCCCATGCCATTAGGACATCCGAAAGCTTCCCCAGCACAGACAGAGCATTACTCCCTGTTGCTGGACTTCCCCCGGGGGGTTTTGTCCCTGCGGGGCCAAGTGCCAGAGCTCACTGCCCCCCTGCCCCTCTGCCCCGCAGCCCAGGCGTTCCCTGCCGTGACTGCGGCTGCTTGGGCCGGTTCCAGCCTGCGTGGCTCCTGCTGGCGTGACTTTCAAAAAGGAAAAAAAAAATAAACCCCATCTACCCTGACTTGCCCTCTGCTCCCTTAGCTTGCTGGTGCCACAGGGTGGCTCCTTGTAGCACTTGTATTTCTGACGCGCTCGGCTTTGTAGCCGAAATCGTTAGCGCTGCTCGTTCTGCTGCTGCCTGATACTAACCCAAGCCCGCGTGCTTTCAGTATTTCAGCGTGCGGTAAGGTGGTGAGCAATTTCCTCTAAAGAAAGGGATATTGTTTTCCTCCAGCGTATGGCACATCATTATCATCTGTGCCCTTTGGGCCACTTAGCCCTCTCAGTCTCGTGTGCTTCCATCGCTGCCTGATTTCTGAGAAGCTTTGAGTAAAACTTTCAGTTGTGAAAGAAAAAGAAACCATTTGTCTTTCTTACTTCTTCCCCATTTGGCTGAAATAATGTCCGGAGAGGAATAAAACGTGAGTGTGTTTTGGGGTCGTGCGATTTAGGAGCCACTTCCCGCCAGTCACAGGACAAAACATAAAGCCTCAGATTGTCTGCGGCAGGGGAATGGCATCCCAAATGCCGCCCCTCAAGTGCCTGAAGGGCAGCGACTCCGCCGCACGGGTCTTCTGGATCAGGAGCTTTGGCTCCTGGTGCGGTTTCACGTCTCTCCTGGCACAACCAGAAGAAAAAAAAAAAAGAAAAAAAAAAATAAAGATGAGAAGTTGCTGAGGTTTGTACTCATCTGTACGGAATTTCTTTGGGAACTGCAAGTTCCTCCACCAACACCAAGCAGAAGTCACCTGGAGGCTGTGGAACAAGCACAAGCACTTTCTGTGGGACCTGACAAGGTCTGGACCACCGCAGTGCTGAGCGGCGAGGAGGCAGGAGTACTTGGCCGAGCTTTTCCACAGGCAGGGTCACTCTGAGCTCGCTGTCTGCAGTCCTCAAAGAGGTGAAACCCCCAGACTGTGTTGCCAGAGATGAGGCATACGCTGCTGGGGCCCTGGGGGACTAACTGTGCGCAGCTTGGCAGGGGACTCAGCGCCGTAGGATGTCATTCGGCCTTCTCCCGAAGCGACAGCGTCTAGATCTCGAGATCACATTTCCCCATACCTCCCTTTTAAAAGAGATGCTGGTTCTTCGAAGTCTACCAAACAAATAACCCCCCTTTGTGTTTTCATGTGATGCTAAATCATTTGCATTTCGTAATAGTGATGTTTTAAACCAGATGTAAATTCTGCCCCCTAATCTCCGTGCCTTACTTCTTACAGCGTACATTAACCTGTCTCTGCATAATTATGCCCGCCTTACAGGGTGACTGGCTCAGCTCTGTACACACCATCCCCACCTTGAAACTTTACCTAGTCAGGTAAAGTGTAGCAATGCATTTGGGTTTTGTTGGTACACATGCCCTTGCTCTGCAACTGCTGTTGAAATTCTCAGCCATTCATGCAAATTCCTCCTAATCTGCTAGCCAAATGGCTGCCTGCATCACATGGATTGTTCGGCTCCGGCAGCGTATGGAGGGTTGGGCGACTAGAAGGGAATTTTCCTCCCTGTCATCTCTTGGATATTTTAATAAGCTGTTACCAATAAGGGTAATCACGAAGACTTCCACCTCGCTGTTTCTTCACTCTCCTATGGAGTTGCCTGTCGATAACTCGGGGCGTTACGACTTTCTCTTTGGGGACTGGCAGGCGAACGAGTTAAAGTTTCAAAACGCCTGTGCAATGATGTATTTCTCTAGGTCGTGTACTACTGTGGAGTACTCGTGTACGTTAACACAGGCCCCGTAAGGACCACGTCCCACCTGTGAGCATTGAAACCTGTGCGGTATTTTCCTAGCTCCCTATTTCCCGCTTTTGATGCGGAGCTGGAGAGCTGCCGTAATTCAGCCCTGTTTTGTGAAAACGCCACGCAGTGATTCCGTCTCTCCTAGCACTGGAAAGTGTTTGGGAAATCCCTTCGACTCCATCACCTCAGCAGTAAGCCAGCTGGTTTCACAGGCCACGGCTGACGGAGGTATGGTTTATGGGACCTGAGCTTCTGTGCCTGCGGAGAGAGGCATGCAGGAGGGACTCGGGCACTCTCTTTTTTCTTGGAATGCAATCTTTAACTCAGTCCCTATGCGTATCCCCCTCATTGCTGGCGATGTTACACGCTTTTCAGAGATGCTGCGTTTCTTTGCTTGCCTGGTCCCGTCACTGCGGTGTTCTTGGAGCAATTTTTATGCTCGGAAGCTTTGCAATCTGATTTCTGCTCAACAAGAAACTGAAACAAGTTTCTAGGGGGAGCAGTGAGGCTGCTGGCAGTTGGTCTCAGAATGAGTTTCTCCTGCTCCTAAATCTTGGAGAACTTAAATCTTTGAAAGCAAGGGGCGCTCCAGGTGAGTTTGTGCTGCGCCGAGGTGCTGGGGTGCCGGAGTAGGGATGCGGCTGGGCGATACCTGCAGAAAACCAGACTTCCAGGTAAGTCAGTATTTCTGGGCTGTTTACTCCCTGGTCTGTCAACAACTGCAAGAGAAAACTGAAACTGATGACACTTGGTAAGTTGGGAGGATACCTCGGCGTGCTTGTTTTCACATGGTGGAGAAACGCGTGTTAAAAATAGCATGATCGTAAACCCAGCAACTTTGGTGAAGGCATACTCGGGGCATATGCTGCTTTAAAGTTGGCGGGTTTTTTTTTAGACGCTATTTCCACTTGCTATTTTTAACTTTATGGAAGACCACTGCGAAGAAGAGGGAACGCGCTGTGCTCTCGGCTCCTGGGCGAGTTTTTTGGTCGGAGGTGTGGGACAGCCCCCGGGAGGCCACGGCACCCGCAGTGTGGGAGCAGGCCCGGATGCTGGCCCCGTGTTCCTCGGGGTGGCCACGGCCATGCTTTGGTGGCCACCTGGGGCAGTGGGGTGAAGACGAGACGCGAGCGGGGCTTTCAGCGTTGCGTTGGCCAACATGAGGCGATGGGAGCCGACAAAGTGGCGGATG